CCGGTGAGCGCTTCGTTGAGCAGCAGGTTCAGCTCTCGGTGGATAACGTCGAACATGCGGTAATAAAACTCTCGCGGGATGCCGTCGCAGCCGGGAGGCTTTCTGGGAGCACTTGTTGTTATTGCCGACAGAATTTCTGCCGTGGTGATTTCGCTCGTGCAGGCTTCATTCAGTGGGTCGTTCGGCGGAACGGCTCTCTCACAAACGAAGCTGTTGTCGTCTCCACCGTTTGCTTCTTCCGAGTAGAGCTCGGAGAAATAGCCCAGCAAGTGCGCCTCGATCGCTTGCGGTTCCTCGATGTTTGCATTTTGCTCCGTGGCCAGTTGTGTGATGACGGTTCTCTTTCTCCGCCTCTCCCCCAACTGGAATATCGACAGTGGTTCCCGCTCCATGTGCGTTTCGTTGATCCGCATGAACGTATGGGAGAAATTACGCTGCAGTGCCAACATTTCCCCTTTCAATCGATTGATCGTGGTTATCAGTTCTGGGTGCTGGTAATACCCGTCGTACGCTAACCGTAGCTCCGCATAGAGACGCTGGTGTGCGCTGTAGAATTAGTCGAAAACTTCTCGAGGTTTCCACTTGAAGAACGATTTTATTTTAGGCTTAGCGTACGAGAGCCACCATTCCATCCATGACCCGTAGTTCCTGCGTTGGCGGGTCCAATATTGCCACTTATATTGGAACTCCACAACGTTTTCGTCAGTTAGAAGGTGGGGCCTAAGTGACCAGAATCCGCGGCCGTGTTCGTGTCCAAGTTGGGGGAGGCATATTCGGAGTGTCAGCGCTTTGTGGTCGGTGAACGAGCAGACATGCGTGTGTGCTGCTCGCAGGTTATCGCACAAAACGCTGCTGACATAAATGCGGTCGAGGCGTGATTGAGCATTTCTGCTGACGTAGGTGAAGCCTGTATCGCATGGACGAAGCTTTTCTCACACATCGTGCAGCTGGAGCTGCTGCACAGCTGTTTTGAGTGAGGAGCTTGTGTTGGGGCTACTTGAATCGCATGCTCGCAGCACACAATTAAAGTCACCAGCCAGAATCACATGCTGTGTCCGATGACGGAGGTAGTAGGCAAGCGTCCCATTAAAGAAATCCTACCGAGCTGCGCGCTGCGAAGAGCCGGAGGGAGCGTAAACGTTGCAGATAGTTGTATCTTGCACTCTCAGCGCAAGCAGTACATTGTACATTGGCGAAAACGACGAAGCCAGGCAAGGAGAGCTGCTCGTTTTCAACCTCTTGCAGACACACAATATGAAGGTTTGGAGCGCATTTAGTTTTGTAGGGTTCGTGATGGTGCCGATGTTGATGGAAGCAACAAGCTTGTAGGATGTGAGAGCCATTTATGGGAGCTTCTCTCCACCCCGCTCTTCGTCCTCGCTGGTCCGGCGCGGTTTCTTTGCTCGGCGGTCAGCCCTGTCCCGCCTGCTACTCGTGGATGTGGAAGATTCGTCGGTTTCGTTGCCATTCCCGCTCTTGCTCTGCGATTGCAGTGCATGTGGGGGCTTCTTGAACAGGTCAACCGTAGCCGTGCTGGTGTTGGCTGGTTGGGAAGTTACCGATGGCACTCGTTGCGACGACGACATTTGCGCTAGTAGTGGTTGCGGACACAGGGACGCTACAGCTGTTGTGGCCTGGCTACTACTCTGCACATTCGTGTTAGTCTGCTTCGGCAATTCGGGAAATGCACCCAACGTTGCCGTTGGTGGTGCGGTAGGTTTCGGCTTGACTGGTTTCGGACCAGCTGGTTTTGGTTGCGGTCGTGGACCCGTTTGCTTCTTCACGTTAGCGTAGCTCTTGTGGACCAGAAGCTTTTTGTTCTGGACACATGATATGCCAGTGTGCGCTTGCTCGTGACTGTGGCGACAGGATCAAAGCTGTCCCTTGTAAACGACAAGCGCTCGTTCGCCGTCGATGGTGACCCACGAGTCAATATTTTTCTTCACGAGCATTCGAGCAGACCATATGCCGAGCGAAATATCACCGAAATCGTAGCCTTCACCCCACATTAGCTCGCGAATCGATAACACCTCACCGAACGCGCTCAGGAACTCTACCACTTTCTCTTCGGACATGTCTTCGGGCAGGTCATGCACCTTCACATCCACACTACCATCCTCCATGGTAATACGAAGCTTGTGCTTCTTTCCGTCCAGTTCAACTTCGTGCTTCTCGTCATGATTTTCAACGATTTTTTGTGCTAACGCCAGGTCACTGCACACGCGACGCGGCACGATACGGATAGCAAAGCGAAAAAATATCTTCAACGGCTTGACTTTTGAAATAGCGCTAAAACGACAAGAAAAACACGTCCGCGCGTCTCAGAAGCTGAGCGATAACTATTCATAAAATGCACTATATAGGTAGCTCTTATACACCTTTTGCCTTCCTCCTTATACAAGTTCTGATGGTCTAGTGGTTAAAGTATGGGTTTAATGATCCCAATGTTCTTGGTTCGAATCCAGTCTGATGCTTTATTTTATTTTGTTTTACATGTTTTGGCTTTAAAAGCTGATAGAATTTAGTTCATGGTTTCAACTCGGATGATTCATGATTTTTGGAACCTTCACTGCGTTACGCAAAAATAGCGCATGATATCATTAATATTATTCATGGTGTATTTTCATAAAATGAAAACACGCTATGTTCATGAAATCATGAGTAATTTTTCTCGTTTTGGTGATTGGATTTGTTCCCGTGTATGGTAATTGAAAGTAGAGCTGTTGTGATTAGAAATTATTTCTTTTGATATTTCAAATGTTACTGGAAGGTGATCAGAACCGAAGTCATCATGGGTAACCAATTGGCTTGACATGAATCAGTTAACACTAAATCAATAGTTGAGGGATTTCTTGCTGAAGAAAAGGATGTTGGGCTGTTTGGATATTGAATAATGTTATAACCTGCAGAACAATCATCAAACAGAATATTACCATTGGAATTGATTTGAGCATTATTTCATGAGCGGTGTTTTGCATTAAAATCACCAATAATGAAGAATTTAGATCTATGGCGCGTAAGTTTCTGAAGGTCACCATTGAGAAAAAAATTTTGCTGGCCTTGGAATGGCAAATAGGCAGCTATAAACGTAAGTTGTCCAAATTTTGTTTCAACAGAAACTCCCAAAGTTTCAAAAACTTTGGTTTGAAATGAAGAAAGAATTTTATGTTTGATTCTATGAACAATGACGGCAACGCCACCACAGGCTCCACCAACGCCGATCACTTATATAAATGAAATAATTTGTGTCCCTCTTAACCTTATGGTCAGGTTTAAGGAACGTTTCAGTTATAACGGCAATATGCACGTTATGACCTCTCAAAAAGTTAAATAGCTCGTCTTCATTATCTTTAAGAAATCGAGCATTCCAATTTAAAATATTTAATGATTTAAAATCCATTACTGAATTCCAAAGTCATGATAATATTTTTCGCAAATTTTACTCCAGTTTGAATAGCATCAAACATGGAGTTAGATTTAAGCAGCGAGGGGAGTAGGTATAGATGAAAAATTTGAAGCAGGGTTGATATTTGTACCTATGGGTGCGAATGTAGAATTTGTTCCTCGCTGACCGTTGTTAACAGCAGAGGAATTTGTACCTGGTCGGGAACGTGGAGCGTTTCCTACCTGTCACTTAGAACGAGATTGTAGGATCGCTTTGCGAGTCTTACATCCATAAAAATTGGATTTGCGGGTTTTCACCACAATTTGAACATTGAAATTTCTTAGGATCTTCCTTCACAAGCCATTCGTCATTTTGCGTGAGAGGAATCAGCACAATTCATGCATTTAGCTGGCATGTAGCAATTTTTAGTTCCGTTACTCATCCCTGGCGTGAGATTTTGGAAATTTCCTCCAGTCTTCCTGAAGTGTTCCCACTTCACTCGGACATGGAGCATAAGGCTAGCTTTTTCCAAGGCCTTAAGGTTGTTTAGTTCACTAGAGTTGAAGTGAACTCAATAAAAATAATTTGTATTCCCGTTGCGCGAATCGCCAGGACGGGATTTCATTTTCATTTTGATTACTTGGAGTGACACAACTCCAAGCAATTTTGCCAGTTCATCTTTGATCTGATCCAGGGATTCACCACTGGGCAGTCCTTTCATGACAACCTTGAACACCCATTCAGTTTTAGTGTAATAAGTAAAAAATAAATGTGCTGTTGCTCAGTCAGATACTTGAGACGACATTTAATTCCGTCCAAGGTTTCAGCCAATACACGGCATTCACCCCGACGTCCAATTTGTAGTGAAAACTTAACTTTCACGAAGTTCAAAAGTTCCATGCGAAGAGCATGGAAATCGGAAGTGGTTTTAACAATAGGGGGAATCTTTTCCTTCTTGGTATTAAGCCGGGAAAGTTTACTAGAATTTTTCCTGGATGATGGATCATTCTCATCATCCGTGAGCAAATCAATCCGATTGCTCAAATTAATTTCATCAGAAGGGGGATCAAAATTTTGCCCCTTTCTTTTGCGCTTAGCCGCCATGGCAGCAGTAAATTTTATCCATATCGACTTCCAAGCAGATTACTATAAGAATCTGAAGGATCGAAGAAGTATTTTCTAAAACGATATCTAAGAAGGATTACCTTGGGTAGGGTCCAAACAAGGATCCAAGAGGAATAAGAGTTGAAAAAGGTAGACATTTTACAGGTTGAGCACTGAAAAGTGCTGTTTAAACTTGTTGTAGCTTTAGGTAATAGTAACACTTCCTTCAGCAAAAAGCAAATAGATCCGCACGGCAAGAGAGCACGATAAGGACTGTTTCTTTGTTTTCAAAACTTATGTTTTGTGAGAGCTGATTTGTGCTCTTGAAATTTTAATTCACTTTAAATTCACCCAAAGTTCTGCACTAATACTTGTGCAATTCATAAACGTCAGGGAAGTCTATAGACGTCAAATGAAAATGTGTAGTATGCAAGAAGAAATTTTAAATCGGAAAATCATATGAGATGCAAATATTATTATGATATTTTTATTTTAAGATATACTAACTTACCTTCAGTAGTCCACAGCTGTCTGCTGGACTGTTTGGTATTATGTTTTTGATGAATATTCCGGAAACAACAGTATCATCTGACACATTAACCTAAAAAAAAAACAGAGAATTTTAATGAAGTGTCAAACACGGCCGTTGTTTACATGTAGATATAAATTAACTTTGTTATATCATTGTTTGCATTCAAAAATAGATATTTTCACCGATTTTTCAAACAATATCCTGACACCTACGGGTACATCCTGAAATCTTTTTTCAAGTTCTTATATGTTAATTGTTTACAGACCAATTTTGAATGATGGTACTTGTTATTTTTTACGACGCCACAATCGAGGATGCCGTACTTGCCTATTTGAATTGGATTTTATCGGGGGCGACCCCGACGTAGTGGTTGACATCCATACCTCTCACACCAAAGTCACGAGTTCAAATCTCACCCCCGGACAAGTCACGAATGACCCAAGAGTGTTAAAGTGACTATAATAAAAACAAAAATGGATTTTAACTCAATTGAACTGCGAAATGATCGACCTTTCCGGATGGTCAATATTCAACTTTTCGTATTCGCTTTCGAGTCACATGAATGTTAACCACAAGATTGAGGGTAAGTTGAATTCAACTCACTTGCCTCGTCTAAACACGGTTATAGTGTTTGTTATACATTTTGTAATATAAAGAAAAGTACAATTTGTATGTCTTGCAGGTGTCCCGGTTTATACAGAAGTACCATGCGGCAAATATGCAACGTTTGGGGTAAGCAAGACGGACGATAATTGAAATCAAATCCAACGGTACCTGGTGTTCCTCAGCTGCGTTCGATTTATCCAGCTTTCCAATCTCGGTAATGGCGGCTTGCACGGGGTTTTAAATGCAGCTCGCTGTTTTTTTACACTGACTGGTTAGCACACGTTGTTTCATTTTCCTCTGTTCCTAGGAGAGAGAAAGGGACGAGGGGAACGGCAAACCTCCAGTAAGTGTCAACAACGCTGCATTTTAAAACCCGCTTATTCCGTTTAAGCTGGAAAGCTGGATATCCAGATAATACTGAAAATACTGCTATTACACTTACCGTTCCTCCAACTATGCTTATGCCAAAAGATTTTTTCTCATCTCTTAGTACCAGAACTTCTCTTTCTTTACCCCAGTCGCCATCTACAGAATACAATAAAAGATTAACATAGATAACATTAGTCGAGAGATTAGTACATACAATTTTCAAAGTAAAAATTTAACATTTTTCTTTAATCTTTACCTTCCGCTAGTGTGCGTGCGTTAAACGTCACTAATCTCTATAGAGATTTGTAACGTTAACGCACGCACACTAGCGGATGCTTCGCCGTGTAAAGTTGTTTATTATTTTCCTATGGCTAGGCTAACCTAAAACATTTATGAAATTAGATCTGTCCAAATGAGTTTGACAGCGATTTGTTATGTATTTTCCTCAGTTTCACTAACACGCTCTTACATATCTCACCAATACAACAATCTCTACTCCGTGTTTTTTCTATGAATATTACATATGGACATGAAAAATGTGTGTTTGGTGAAAAAGTCTACATTTCTAGTTTCTAATAATACTAACAAATGAATATTTTTTTCATAATAGGATTTTATTGAACGTTTTTATTCAGCAATGAATTTTAATCAAGGTTGGACGTAAAAGTTCACCATGGTTGGACCTATTATATAAAGTACCATTTGTATACATTCAAAGTGTTTTTATCACAAACGAAGTGACAGACGACTTACTGGCGAAGAAATCAATTAAAATAATGTGGTTCACTGTAATAGAATTTTCTTGGAAGCTTGTGCCATCATCCACCAGATGGGCTAGTTTTTTTGTTTTGATTTGAACAAAGTTGATTTTGTGTACAATGATTCTTTGACAGTGTGCAAAGAGTGCGTATCATTTTTTTATGCATTTCAGTTTTGAGTAGAGTGAAAGAGATAGAACCAAAATATTCTAGTACATTTGGTGAAAATGCTAGTTCAATCCAATAGTAGTGTTGCCATGTGGTACACCAGTAGTAGTGGTGTTGCCATGTGGTACACTGAAAAATTGCAATAGAAGGTAAGTCACCAAAGTTTTCGAGCCGCTCCGTCTGTCACTTCGTTTGTGGTTTTTATGTTACTTCATACGCGAAGTTAGCGATTTTCAGAGTTGGTTGGAAATGCTAACATGAAGCTTTAGTGTGATAATTTATTAGGTAGAGAATGATCTTTAGAAGAGGGTAGGTGGATAGTTCCGTTAGAGTACGGCACTATGAAAATTGAATAGAAGTTTGAAAATGAGCGAAGGGCCATTAATGCGACAGTTTTTAAAGATAGACGCACATCTTTTGCCTAACCCGTACGATGTACGCGGAGACTTGAAGTATGTCTCCAAATCTACAGGCAAAAAATGTGCGTCCCTCTTTTGCTCATAAACTGACTGCGGCTGTGGAATAGTTCTAGCGACGTTTTCATCCCTACCTAACGCCCCACGTTGCGAGAGCATTTCCAGTCGATGGTGTGTTATAATGCAATTCTTCTTTACCCAACTATTGTGTTGCTCCTCTCGTCCAAGTTGGTCATGGTCACCATTTGTATGCTTAACCCAAGTAATCACGTTATTTCGCCTTTTTGGCTATATACAGCTGAACAACGGCTATACCAAGTTCTGATGTGACCCGTATATAGCCAAAAAAAAGTTGAAAAAACGTGCCTCCACGCTTATTCTGGTTAACTCAAAATTGAGTCGAATGTACTCATCTCAGCGGCAAGTAGGGCTACTCAAAATTGAGTAGCCTTATGTTGACTCACTTTTGAGTAAACGACGTTTTCACGTAGACTGATTCAAATCCACTCAGCGATATTTTCAGTTGCGGGGGTTTTTGTTTTGATTTTATTGGCGTTGACGGCACCGTCGAAAAATTTTCTCTTCCAGCAAATATAGACAGTTTCTTATGAGAATTTTCGGTGGAGTGAATGGATAGTACAAAGTCCGCCATGTTTCACGCACAGTTTGACGTTTGCTTATGAATTTTCTCATTGGAGTAAAGAGCTACAGAGTCGCCGTCAACGCCAATTTGAGGAAATGAAAATTCTCGCGTCACTTTTCAAATAGACCAATGTAACATATCCACCATTTTGAGAAAATCGAAGTTGAAGTTCGACAGATTATTATTTTAACTGTTTAAAAACAATACATTTTGCAATACTATTCTTAATGTAGTTAGTGTATAATAACGTTGAAAATTCAGAAGAAACGGTAAAATCATAATTTTACTTTGAATTTAATGCTACAACATAGAAAAAACCACATAGGACGTTTTGACAAGTCGAGTTGTACATCGGACATGTTACATTGGACGATTTTTCTCAATGACATAATCAATGAGTGTTACATTGGATGTTTTGTCTACATGATACTAGATTCCCTTTCACAGATTTCAGAGTATAGTACCTAACTTTAGATTGGCCCCGCCTTTGGAAAATGAGCACTAATCATGTTAAACAGTGAATGACCGAAGTAACAATCATATACCCCAGCATTTCAAACTGTACATTGGACAATTTTTGATCAATGATTATTTTAAATAAATAAAAGTAAATTTGGATGGATGTTTTAATATCACATACAATGATAGAAGAGCAATAGTTTGTATCGCTTAATTCGATTGGTTTACATTTGTTACATTGGTCTATTTGAAAAGTGACGCGAGAATTGTCTGCTCCTGATTCATTCTACTGGAGCAGAAAATGGTTCAACACCATTGCCCTAAACAAGTTCTACTTACCTGAAGGAATTTCCGCCCGTTTTAAGTGAAACATTCACCCGTTTTCAAGGACGTTTCCTCCAACATGGTTGACATTTTTTCTAAGTCCAGGATTTTGCTGACTGAGTGGCTTTTACTCAGTTTGACATTTCTCGTTTACTCAGTTTTTGACAACTAGATACATCGGACGAAAGTGAGTACGATCGACTAACCCGGTGAGTAAACTGAAGTTAGCGTGTATGGTTACTTGGGAAGAGCCCGCAGGACCGAGTGTCATAAACCAATCAACAGCCATTAAATGAAAGGTAATATGAAATTCAACAACCAGCTCAATGGCAGTTATTAGGAATAGCCAGGATCCAGTCAACTTCTGGAACGCCTAGGAAAGTAGCCGGTTTTAGACTTGGATGCCTCAAATCACATGAGAATGCATCTAATTCCTCTAAGCTCTGTTTAAAAATGTTGTGACTAGGAAAGTAAACAGAAAATCGTGTTGCTGTGTCTGAAGGAAATTGTAAACAAACCGAAGCACACCTGACGGCCAATGCAGGAAGTAACTACGTAGTCAAGTGTTCCGCCTTGGTTAGGTGTCTGTATTCGCTGATTTGCCGCAGACGGGGGGTTCTCAAGGGTGAACAAACTGGCTCTCAAGGGTGAACAAACTGGCTGTCTACAAACAAATCATAGCACCTGCGATCCTCGTGCTCCGGTGTGGCATTCATATGCACAGACTCACAGAAACAAAATCCAGGGCGCTCAGAATAGAGTGCTGAGGATGATCCTTGATCGTCCCTTTGACACATGAATTTCAGACCTCCACCAAGAGGCGAACGTTCCAAAATTAGATATCAAAATTGCTGACATTAAGACTAGGTTTGTGCAGAAATGCAATACATCCGAACATACTTTGATAAGCAATGTGTATATAGTAGGTTAGGTGTATATAGTAGTTGTAGTTGTAAATAGTAGTCTTCTTTTTCCAATTTCAAACAAACCAATCCCAACTAGGGCATTCTCTAAACATGCATGATAGGACTAGGAACTTTAAATAATAATTTAAAAATTTCCAATGTCACACAGATAAAAATTCTGAATTTTAATTGTGATGTAAACATTCATTAACGTGGACTTGTATTTCATTTCACGCAACCGAGCAACTTGCAAACAATGTTGTTTACAAAGATGGGCTTTTGTATACAATATTTGCTACATTACATGAAATGTGTCAGAACTTTACATGTAATGTAAACGTATATGATATGTGACGCTCCATTTATGTGCATCATATTGAACAGAAATTTACACTACTTTTTCGAACTCTGCACTTGAAAAAAATCATACATCTCCACACAAGTTCAAGAAAAAAAAAGACCATTAAAAGTAAAAAAAAAATGTTTTACAGTCAGTTGTTAATAAATCACAAACAGAATAATAGTCATGCCTCTCGTGAGCGATTTTTTTTTTCTCAATGAATGTTTTGATTCTCTGGGCAGAAGCGGGTAAAACATGAATGGCATTAATTTTACTTAAGAGGCAACTAACCGTCACTCGATTTGCTTCAGATTTTTCTTTCTGTATTCCTAAATCATCACTATCTAAAAGTATTGGTAAAATATATTGGTAGCGTGCGTCGCCGTACCTAAACCGTCAATACATAATAATAATCAACTGGTGTGGTGAGTAAAATGTAACTATCTCTTTTATTCCTTCACTTTTCAATAAAACAGAAAATGTGACGTCACAATATCTAGACCTTTTTGACGTTTAATCGTCTTTCTCTATCCAGCACACAGGGATGAACGGTTGGTTTGTTTTCCCACTAATCTGTTTCTCTCTTGCTCACACTCCTTCAGTTTAAATGGTGAATTAGTGTGCGCCGTTTAAACGTCAAAAAGCTCTCTAGTGCATAAGAATGTCGAAGACAAAAAATCCCGTTGCTGTATGAAATTTTGCTTACAACCCTGAGTGGGAAAGCGAATGACAGGCTACGTGCACTGCTGCCATTGTCGCTTTTTTTTCCTTTGGTTTGTTTTTTCCATCGATCTGTTTTCCGTGCTGAGCACCAATGCTACCGACGCCAGGGAGGCAGCTCCCACACCTGGACCCTACCTATCGACCCGTCATCAACTCATGAACCGGGGACCAACGGCTTTACTTCCCATCCGAAGGAAGGCGTGATCAGAGATGTTATGCCTCAGAACATTCCGGCGGCGCCGACTGGGATTGAACCCAGGCCTGCTGGGGTGAAAAGGTAATCACGCTTACCACTACACCACCGGCGCCGTTCCATTGTCACTGTTTGTGTTTAATTTAATTTTTGTTTACCTTTATAATTGGAACGTTTAAGTAAATACAGTGAGAGTGTTTTATCCAGGAAATGTTTGACGTAAAATC